CCCACATTGGTTTTCTGGTTCCCCCTTTCTCTCACCTTTTGTTTTATTTTATTATTAAAAGAAAAAATATATTATTTCTTCTCTCTCCCATCTACAACAAAAATGAATCTAACCATCCTAACTATCTCTAAACTAATTTCAGCTCAAATTGAATGATGATTTTTTCGTTAAATAATACATTGTTAAAGACACTAATTACAAGTATAAATATGATTATCACTTTCTACTATCATGGTAAAACATGGTAAAATATGTTGAAGAAAATTACAATTCTAACTACCATACAATACCACATGGTAAAACGTGGTAAAACATGGTAAAATATGTTGAAGAAAATTAAAAATCTAACTACCATACAATACCACATGGTATAACGTGGTAAAACATGCTACAGAGATTTACAAATCTAATTACCATACCATACCATATGGTATAACATGCTAAAATAAAATTACAAATCAAACTACCACCACATGGTATAACTTGGTAAACCACGCTACAGAAAATTATAAATCTAACTAGCATACAATACCACCATAGTAGAACATGGTAAATCAAAGGACCACAAATTAATTATAATTACCATATAATATCACATGGTATGAGAAGGTAAAACCATGTAAATCTAATTACAACCCTCTACGACCATAGTAAAAACATGATATTCATAAAAATACATTTCGTTACCATACATTACCATATGGTATGGACACATTACCATATGGTATAGTGTGGTAATCTCAATATATATATATACACAATTACTATTTTCTTCACTTTCTTCTCTCCCTTCATTGTCTTCTAACTCTTCTTTTTCGGAACTGGTGTCGATTACCACCCACTACCACCATGATAAAACTCGTGACTATAAAAATACACTTAGTTAGCACACATTACCATATGGTATAGTGTGATAATATCAATATATATTCTCAAAGAAGGGGAAACAGAAGGAGGAAGAGGGAAAAAATTCGTCTTCTGTCTCCTCTCATTTACTCCTCCGCAATCAAGAACACCAAATGCAAAAAGAAAGAAAAAGAGGAAGAAGATCGGAATTAATTCACAAACAAATACTGAAACACAAAAGATGCAAAACTCAACTCACCTAGATCTGTACCCTCTTTGACAATATGGAGCATCATCGATTTTGAGGCCGAGAAAAGAAAAAAACAGAAGGAAGGAGCATCTTGAGAGAAGAAGGATTTGGAGCGTCACTGAATTTGAGGTGGGAGGCTGCAATTTCTTCATCGATTGTTGGAGAAAAAAATGAAAAACAAGAGAAGAAAGGAGATTTAGATCTGGAAAAAGGAGTTTGGAAGAGAGAAAGAGAGAAGTCTGCTTTTCTCTTTCTTCCATTAAAAGACAAACATATAAATGCTGGAAAAAATAAAAAAAATGAAAGAAATCAAATTTCAAAAATCGGACAAAAATGCCCCTCCTCACTCCGAGTGCAGCCCAACAATATAATAATGCCATCCCTAGATCTATGGTCCGGATTTAATACTGACTCTATCCTGCCGTATAATACGCTATCAGAAACCATGGACTCACTTGATGGTTTGTGAAGACAAGTCAACGTACTAGAATGACTTGAACCCTTTTATTTTCCTGTGGAAGAAAATAATAGCATGGAGCTGTATTTGACTTTGCATGTATTTGCTGTTTCTTCGTGTAAACGTCGTCCATCAAATGCATGTATATTGCTTACGAAGAATTTCGGAAGCAAATTAAGTCATTAACAGATTTAAATTACGTTATATTATATAGGGTTAATATTTTCGTATGGCCTGAACTTTGACCAAAATAAACATTCTGGCCAATCTTTTCGATCTATAACATTCTGGCCTGAACTATACACCAAAATAAACAATTTGGCCAGATCCGACTTTTGGCCGATAACTTGGACGGTCAAACGCGTAGACCGTTAGTCAACGCGCCATGTCACTGCCAAGTCAGCATAAAATATTTAAAATAATTCACAATTTCCACAGATTCCCTAATTTTAAATTATTATAATTTAAAAAAATCATCTAATACCTTAGTTAAACCAAAAATAAAAAACGAAAAAAATTAAATATTTATCAGATCTTCTGATTTGGCAGTGACGTGGCGCGTTGACCGTTAGTCAACGCGTTTGACTGTCCAAGTTAACGGTCAAACATCGGGTTTGGCCAAATTGTTTATTTTGGTGTATAGTTCGGGCCAGGATGTCAGTGCCGTCCCATGATATTTGGAGGCCCTGTTCGAAAATTTAAAATGTGGCCCTAATTTTTTCCCCATAAATTTATCAAAATTAAAAATTAGTTAATAATTGTAAAAAAAACTTAAGTTCAGAAAAAGATTACATCAGGAATAAACGATCTCGTTTCCAGTTTGACCAAGAAACCAAGCCGAATTCCCAGCCCTAGTAGGGAGGAAAGTAAATCTGGAAGGAAGAGAAAATGGATATAGCGCAAAAATTGAATGGAGAAATGAAAATAGTCTAAATTGATCGAGAGGTGGGTGCAGGGTTGTCTACTAGATCGTGGAGGCCCTATTTTAAAATCTAGACGTGGTCCAAATCGACCTTTAACTATAATAAAACTAAAATGATTATAATAACACTATTCAAAATGTAATATCTTTCTATATTGTTTAAATTAAAATTATCTATTATTTTTCAGATTTTTGTATTCTCCATGAGATCCTTTTCAATTGTTATTATAGCTAAAACTATCTATTAAACACATCATCATACTCATAATCAATCAATCATACACTAAAAATACAACCTACAATATATGATCGGTAACTAACGAATCTAAGTAGAGGCCCCTAATATTCTGAGGCCCTGTGCCGGAGGGCGGGCCAGCACACCCTCTTGGCCGGCCCTGCAGGATGTTATAGATCGAAAAGATTGGCCATAATGTTTAGGACTTTGCTATGGTGACATGCATGTCACGGTGACATGCACTTTTCGGTCGACCTCATATAGGATTAGGTCGACCTAATCTGTTGTTTCAGTGTAAAACAGTTTCATTTGAAGTCTGCCAGAAAAACAGCCTTCCTAGCAACTTCGACCCTTTTATTTGAAGTCTTACAGATATCCAATCTTTCATCCAATGCCTTGAATTTGTATAAAAACATACCTAATTTAACGTGGTAGAGGCTCCTGGACTCGACTCGCATTCATGCTTCTCGAATTGAGCTTCAAAATAGGCTTCACAAACACGTTTCCACACTTAGCCATTTCCAGGCAGTTTCCCAGTTTTGGCATAGCCTTTTGATTAGGTTCAAAAATGGTCTTCTGGACTTCCTATCGAGCTCTCAATCACTTCAATATGTAGAGGGACACTCCAGCTTCAAAACAAGTCATTAGTCTTCAATTTCCATCTAGCCAATTCTATGATATGAATATCCAAAGTATGCACCATGAACTGTTTTTACACCGAAACAACATATTAGGTCGACCCGATCCTATATGAGGTCGACCGAATCCTAAATGAGGTCGACCTAATCCTAACTGAGGTCGACCGGAAAGTGCAAGTCACCATGACATGCATGTCACCGTAGGCACACCCTAATGTTTATTTTGGTCAAAGTTGTCATACGAAAATATTAACCCTATTATATACGATTAGAAAATTAAAAAACAGAATTTTCATACCTGCCGGTATAGGTGTCAATCGGGCGGGTTCGGGAGAATTTGGGTTGGGTTCAATCGGGTTTGGGTTCAAACGGGTTGCGGGTTAGTCAGGTTGCGGGTTCATCGAGTTCGTGTTCATCGGGTTCGGGTTCAAACGGGTTGCGGGTTATTCGGGTTGCGGGTTCATCGGGTTGCGGGTTCATCGGGTTTTGGGTCAGGCGGGTTGCGAGCGGGTCGGGTTTCGGGTTGTTCGGGCCAGCGCATCAAGTAACTTAACTCATTACTCATTACCAACTTACACATTTTATTACACTAATTTAAAATACTTTCTCAACTTTTTAACCAATTTATTTCTACCTCGTATATATATACTTTATTTTTTTTGAAAAAAACTAGTCAAAATGTTAAATCAATTTGTATGACTTGCAAACTTGTTATGTAATTAATCATAATTGGTAAAGTATTATAGCTAATAGTAATGGTGATATCAATATTTGCAACCAAAAGACATCGTTAATTTTTTATTTGATATTTTAGTATTAATTCAGTAGTAATTGGATTAAAGTATCTTGTTTAGTATAACCATGCAAATCTGGTATTTGGCGTGTGGTATTTGGCAAAAGCATAGTGATAAAATGAGTTATTTCAAAATAACTCATTGCCCAAATAACTTTAGTAAACTGTTGCCAAACGAGTTATTTGTAAAATTGTTCGAATTATCCTAAAAATTGAACCATTAAAGATTAGCTATCAAATTTAGTAAAATTATTCTGACTTCAATCATAACTTACTCAATAGCATATATCCTATACACTTAGCTTTACCCTCAATCAACAATATTAAGTTAGTATATGTTGTTGATTGTATACCCTAAACCATCAATACATTATACACTAACCACATAACTTATACCCTAACCATATGTCCTTGAGTTGTGATTTTGCTAGTATAGTTAATTTAAAAGTGAAATTCATACTTTGATTTTCAAAACATAGATAAAAAGTGATATTTGCTAATTGTTATACCCTAACCATATATCATATACTTTACACCACATACCTTGTACCCTAACCACGTACCATAAACATAAATTAAAAAGGGATCTCCTACCGTTAAAGACTTCAAATGACTTCAAGTGAACATATGTTAATAAAAAACTTAGAACCGTCAAAACCATCAATATCTTATACCCTAACCATATACACCCTAACCATATGTACCTTACACCCTAACCATATATTTTATATCCTAAACAACGAACCGTCAAAGATTACTTATCAAGTTTAGTATAAATTGTTGTAACTAATGATTAATTTATTTATTAGCCCATAAAAAATTACATACATATATACATATTAGTCTTCAAAGCATATAAGAATAATTTTAACTAGTCATGCCCTCCATATAAAAGTTAAAGATTCATATTTCAAAAGATAAAATTATGAAAAACCAAAAAATTGAAAACACCAAATTTGTTTTCTTCTTTCTTTTCACAAAAATACTAAAATTTCCCTCCCTCTTTCTCCTTCCATACATTAGAAAAACTCAATTTTTCCTCCTCTTTCTCTTCCATAAAATTGAAAGAACCAAATTACCCTCTTCTTTCCTTCTACAAAAAGTTGAAAAAGTCAAAAGTTTCCCTCATTATTTCTCTTTCATAATCAAAAGAATCAAACTTTTGCACTTCTTTCTCTTCCCACATATCAAAACTACCAAAATTCCCACTTGTTGCTTTTCTGAAAAATTCAAAGATTCAAATTTCTCTCTTCTTTCTCTTCCCAAAAATTTGAATACACCAAAATTTTCATCTTCTTTTAAAAACATCAAATTACCAAATACATTACTTTACTTTATTTATATTTAATTGATAATTTTATTGAATAGTTAAATTAACCAAAATTTTAATTTATATATTATATTAATATTGTCATGATCTCAAGTGACCTTCATGTTTCAATTTTAGTAATGTTCTTAAAATACGTAATATCAAGTGAGTTTCATATTTTTAAAATTTCTTATACGAAATGAAAAAATAATTTTATTTAAGTTTAGAATGAAAAACTTTATTTTGAAAAACTATGTATTGTATATTTTTATAATTATTCAAGTGGATCAGATGAAATTCGGATTGAGTCGGTCGGGTTCGGGTTAATCGGGTTACGGGTCAGTCGGGTTGCGGGTCAATGGGGTTCGGGTTAATTGGGTTGCGGGTTAGTCGGGTTGCGGGTCGGGCGGGTTACGGGTTGTTGGCTTTTAGTCGATTCGAGTTACGGTCGGGTTACGGATCGAATTGATCGGGCGGGTTAATCGTGTCGGGCTATGTTTTGACACCTACACCTGCCGGCCCAGCCCAGGTGAGGTGAGAAAGTGCAATCACGACGAGTCATGAGTCACGAGTCACTGACTGCGAGCAGCCACCGCCCCCTGTTTTATCCCAAAAGAAAACCAGTGGGTCCGACCAGACGGCCGCTTGCACACCGGCCGGTCGCCATCAAATCCTTACAATAATCCCAATTTATATTAAAATATTAATAAAAAATTCCCTAAAAGCCGTTGGCTAGGGCCGAAGGAAAGTTCGTTAAACGAGAACCCTCCACCACCGCACTCGCTGCCCCATATAATTCTGTTGTGTTTGTCACCGCCTGTTGTAAAACACCCACCTCCTTACCCATATTCTCATCTCCTTCCGCCTTGAACCCCACGCTTCTCTAAGCAACTTTCTTCCTCAATTCCCTACTCCCCTCCATAATCGAATCGAGATTTCCCCCCCTGCCAGTCCTTCAATTCGAACGAAACGAACCTCGTTTTCACTCGGTTCAGGTATGCCGATTCCTACTCCTCCGATCGTCGCATCTCTGAATCGCGACTGAAAAAATGTTTCCGGCGTTCCGATTGCCGTGTTTTCTACCTTACTCTCTTCCCTGCGCCGCGCGAGGCCTCGTTTTCGTAGAGGGGGTGAAAGGAAACTGAGAGCAATTATGGTTTCGAAAGCTTCTGTTGTTTGGACGTTTGAGTAAATCACATTTTGATTAACCGTTGTGCTCAACTCCGCGTCGAAATTTTTCAGATGGCTCCAACGGCTTTGATCTGCGACACTCAGCCATGGAAGGACTTGAAGGTGAGAATGCAGGATTCATCTCTCCACTGTGTTTTTTAACGTTTGTTTGGAAGCTATATAATCACAAATTTTGATCTTAATTGCCGCAGGCTCATGTTGGGGACATTAAGAAGACTCACCTGCGGGAGTTAATGGCTGATACTGAGCGGTGCAAACAAATGCTGCTGTGTGTTCTCTCTTTTTCTCTTATGTTGCCGTACTATTTGTTCTTTTGGCCTGGATTCTGTTATGGGTTTACGGTGATTAACTTGTATGCAACGTGTGTAGCGAGTTCGACGGTATAACACTGGACTACTCACGCCAGCAAGCTACTGTTGATACATTGAAGAAACTGCAGAAGTTGGCGGAGGTAATCAATTAGCTGGTTCTCAATTTGGGAGGGCAAGTCTTGATGACGACATAATGTTCTGACCATAGTCACACATTTCTTGCTGCAGGCTGCGCATCTGAAAGATAAGATTGAACGCATGTTTAGCGGCGAGCATGTGAGTTATCATTTTTGTCAATCGAGTACCATGGATATTTCATTGCCATTCTTGTTACTTTGTTGGGCAGTACCTTGTTTAGGAGTGTTAGTAGCGACTGATGTCTAGTTCTCATGATCTATCTTTTTGGCGTTTTTGGTAGACTTCCCGTGATTCGAGCTTTGTAATTAGGTCGATTTTCATTGATATGATTGCGTGGTTGTTATTCTGATTCTGATTACGCTCCCATTTTTAGATTAACAGCACAGAGAATAGGTCAGTGCTCCATGTGGCTCTTCGAGCTCCAAGAGATGCTGTGGTTAAGTGCGATGGCAAGAATGTTGTGCCAGATGTTTGGAAGGTTTTGGACCAGATTAAGGATTTCTCTGACAAAGTCAGGAATGGTTCTTGGGTAAGTAACGTTGAGTTTCCTCGAGTTCTAGAGGCACAAATTCCTGTATTTTGTTCGGTAACACGCATCCATTGACAGGTTGGAGCCACTGGAAAACCGTTAACCGATGTTATTTCTGTTGGAATTGGTGGCAGCTTTTTAGGTCCACTTTTCGTGCACACTGCCCTTCAAACAGGTTTCGAATGCCCCCTTATAGCCATAAAACACCCTGTTTATAAAAATCGTGTTCCTTGTGATTAGCGTACCAGATTTTTATGTAATACAGAAGAGTTATTTACTGCTAGTAACTCACAGATCCGGAGGCTAGTAAACAAGCAAAGGGACGCCAACTACGATTGTAAGTACTCCTTTCTGTATCAAACGAGGCAGTTGAGCTGGTCCACATATGTTTTAAGGGCTATTCGTGTATGTTGCTGTAGATTGCCACGACTATCCAATTGTGTTTAATCTGTCTTCTGATTTGCTATACTTTTTAATAACTTATAAATTGTTTCAGTCTCGCAAATGTGGATCCAATTGATGTTGCTAGAAATATTGCAGGCTTGAACCCTGAAACAACATTGGGTAAGATACATTCCATTTCCGTGGATGCTTATGTTTCTCTTGTTTATTTCTTGATTTAATTTCTTTCCCTCACTTCGAATACTCATCTGAGGTTCCTATAATTCCATGCAGTTGTTGTGGTTTCAAAAACTTTCACCACAGCTGAAACAATGTTAAATGCCCGCACACTAAGAACTTGGATCTCGAAAGAACTCGGGTGAGTAAGAAAAGGACACAAGTCCCTCTATTGTTAATAGTTAATTCATTGAGATGGAGTTCTAAAGAGATCGATATTTGGAAGGGTTGACCAGTACTTGTTGAGTGCAAAGATGGATCTGTGCTGTGTTATTTTAGTGTTCTTGCAAACTTTCTGATTAGTAGTTTTCTTGATTCTTGCAAAGTGGAAATGATGGCATGAATGCATTTCTATTTTCTAAAATGTTCACAGACCTTCTGCAGTTGCAAAACATATGGTGGCTGTTAGCACAAACCTCATGGTATGCAATTCTTGTCTCTCTTGTGTTTCCTCATTGCTTGTTATCACTCTTGAAAACATATGGAAGTACTATGTCTTTTGTATGGTTATCACTCTTGAAATGTTGCTTTTGCCTCTCCCTTACTTTTCTGCTATCTAATGCAGCTTGTAGAAAAGTTTGGAATTGATCCGAAGAATGCTTTTGCATTTTGGGACTGGGTTGGTGGCAGGTATAGTGGTAAGTTTCCCCTATTGTAGCCTTCTTGTTGTTATGTGGATTTGATGGTTGATCTGACTGAATCATTTGGCCTCTCTACAGTTTGCAGTGCTGTTGGTGTGGTGCCTTTGTCTCTCCAGTATGGTTTCTCTGTGGTTGAGAAGTACGGTAACGTCTTTTTAAATTATGATGTACAATAGTATTAGATTTTACATAATAGTTGCAGCAGTTCCTACCTTAGAATAATAAAAATTTTATATAGCATATTTGAAAACAAGGCGATCCTGGGTCTTTCTAGAGGCGAGTAGTCTGGAAGTTGTCCAGCTGTTTGTGCGTTTGAAGTGCCCTACAATGCTCGTATACATTCAGTTTTGCTGTTTACTTTCACTAAAATAGGAATGGCCTTTGGTATTGCAATTTGAATAATAGCAAAATGTCAGAGTTCTGCTGTATCTTATATTGCCTAGCATTTGTCCTTACAAATAATTATCTATCCCGTGCATGTTACTATGCTTCACCTAGTTGCATGCTTAATAAGGTCTCTCCATTTGTGTGATTTGAAGGTTCCTGAGTGGAGCATGGAGCATAGACAAACACTTCTCTTCTGCACCATTTGAGAAAAATCTGCCTGTGAGTACCAATGTGCTATTAGTTTATCAGTCTGTAATCGTACAACTGTAGAGTACCATATGGACTGTATAGGGTAATACTAGTAGCTTTATGCAATAACAAAACATGCTCCACTGTTTTCAATGGTAGAGAGATCTTGTCCAGGTTAACGAACATGTTATTAAAAATATTACAGTTACTTGATGCGGTTTGTTAGACACTGCAATTTCATATGCGTACTATGAAACTGGTCGCTGGTCTGTCTCTGACATTTCCTTTGATGCTAAATACTTCAATGACTTTGGATATTGATCAAGCATGTTGATTCTGGTTCTCATGTCTATTAAATCTTTGTGCAGGTGCTCTTAGGTTTATTGAGCGTGTGGAATGTTTCGTTTCTTGGATATCCTGCAAGAGTATGTTCTGGATTATTTCAACAACTTCATGTGTTCTTTAATTTATTTGTTTCGTATTCCCATAACCATATTGGTATTTCTAGGCCATCCTGCCGTACTCCCAAGCCCTGGAAAAGTTTGCACCACATATCCAACAGGTGATCGAGTCTGCCAATGTTTTTTTGGAGAGTAAGCTTCCTTGTATATTTCAAGTTATTTTAAGAGCTTCAGTGCTGAAATTTCTATCTGATACTCCAGGTTAGCATGGAAAGTAATGGCAAGGGTGTATCCATTGATGGGGTGCCACTTCCCCTTGAGACAGGTGAAATTGATTTTGGTGAGCCGGGAACCAACGGTCAGCACAGCTTTTATCAACTAATTCACCAGGTAACTCGCATTTTCCTTCTTTTGAAAACAGATTGGCACATGGGGTTGAACTGATGTTTAAACATTTGGCCTACTCAGGGGCGTGTCATTCCTTGTGACTTTATTGGTGTTATAAAGAGCCAGCAGCCAGTATATTTAGAAGGTATGTTCAGAAAGTTAAATCTTCGTACCCTTTTGTCTGAATCACATCTTATCAAATTCTCATCAATTTTGACTGTGCAGAGGAGATTGTCAACAACCATGATGAACTCATGTCTAACTTTTTTGCTCAGCCCGATGCTCTTGCATATGGAAAGGTAATTCCATACTTTCCCAAATAAATCTTGTTACAACAGGTTCATGCCATATCTGGGTCTTCTATTAACCACTCGCTTTCTGCAGACACATGAACAACTGCTGAAGGAGAATGTCCCTGATCATCTTATTCCTCACAAGGTAGTTTCATAGATGATGTTTCTCTTTTGACTGTAACCAATTGCTTGTGGAAAACGTTATGACTAACTAACCATGCTGTTATCTTCCACAGACTTTTACTGGCAACAGACCTTCGCTGAGCCTTCTGCTTTCTTCATTGGGCGCTTATAAAATTGGACAGGTAGTTCTTCCCTACTTAACACATTCATGGGCACATGATCTGTTTTTTTTTTTTTTTTTTTTTTTTTTTTGTCTATCTTTCGCCATAGCCCAAGCATATGGAGTCTATTGCCAGCCTAAAATTTCAAGAAATGATACTTGTTTGCAGTTATTGGCGATCTATGAACACAGAGTAGCTGTACAAGGCTTCATATGGGGCATCAATTCCTTCGACCAGTGGGGAGTCGAGTTAGGGAAGGTGGGTGGTAATTAGAGTTTTGAATGCTTGCACTTTCTTTCAACACGTCTAGTAAATAGGCTTCTTCCCTGCATGTTTCATACTCGACCTTGGACCGAATCTTTGATCGTTCTTCTGCAGTCACTTGCCACTCAAGTTAGAAAGCAACTTCACGCTTCGCGGGCAAAGAAAGAACCAGTCCAGGGCTTCAACCCCAGCACCACTACATTGCTAAACAAGTACCTAAAGGTATAATGCAGAAGGGAAATGTCCATTTTGTTATGACCACGATGCACAACTTGAACTTCAGTACTCATCTCATATTTCTCTTACTTTTTTCAGGAGAGCTCCGATGTCCCAGCTACTCCTACAACCCTTCTACCCAATATATAAACAAGCACCATCTATTGCACGCCGGCAGAAGATCTCTCTCTCTTCTTTCATCAGGCATCGTTTTTGTACCATAGCTATAACGAACGGAATACTGCTTACACAATACACTACATACAGCAAGACTACATGTTGCTGTAACCTCGAATATCTTTCGAGGCTCGTTTAAGTTAAGCCCCCATTAAGTGCAAGCTTGTGGTTAGGAATTCTTTCTTCTAATGGCAGTAGACTAGCGTAGTAAAGGCTGCAATGTGTGCATTATGCTGAAGCCTTGGAGTGCTAAAGAGATAGGAAAGCAAGAAAGAGTAGACTGTAGATTACTACTTGATAAACAAGTCACAAGGCTTCTAGGCTCTGATCACTACTACAATATGTAGTGATATCCGATATACAAAGTAACAACTTGATCCGCTAATACCACTGAACTGCCCCTTCAACGAATGCCAAAACTAGCTAGTGAAAACAAGTCGGCGACGAGGGTTTGCAAGAGGGGTGACACGAAAACCGAAGGGATTTCAGACGCCGGTGGAACCGAACCCTCCTTCGCCTCTAACTGTGGCGTCGAGATCTTCAACTTCCACGACCTCAGGAGTAACGATCTTCTCGATAATCAGCTGAGCAATTCTGTCGCCTTGTTTGACCTCGAAGTCAACGTCGGAGTGATTGAACAGGATAATCCCAACGGAGCCTCGGTAGTCGGCATCTATCACTCCGGCTCCCACGTCGATCGAGTGCTTCCATGCGAGCCCCGACCTCGGAGCTGTAACGTCGGAAAACGCGAAACCCTAGATTAATACGATGTAAAACGGTAATTGCCGGGAGTGAACCGATTAGAAAGAAAGAAAAAAATACCGATGCGAGCGTAGGTCCCTTCAGGCACCGCGATGCTCAGGTCCGTCGGAACTAGGGCTTTCCCCCTCGCCGGCACTTTCGCCTCCTCAGCACTGAAAATTTTCCCAGAAAAATCAGAAACCCAGAAGCAGTATGGATTACAGGAAGGCAGAGAGAGGTGGCGAAGGGTTTCTCTACCTTGAGAGATCGTAGCCAGCGGAGAGAGGAGACCCTCTGGTGGGCAGGACAGCCTTCGGGGAAAGCTTCTTCACCTTGAAGAAAGACCCATCGGCGGCAATAGGCGCGGAGTGGACGCCGTTCTGCTGGTCGAGCTTCTGGATCTTCGGCGACGGCTCCTGGATTTCGGTACTGCCGTTCTTGATCTCCGCTGCGTCTGCCATTTCGAGGAGTGGAGTGATTAGTTTCCGTAGAGCAGAGGTTTGGGAGGAAACGGTGTGTCGAGATTGGCGGAAGGCGGTGGTGGGTGGTCGAATAAATAGGGTAAAACCCGCCATTTGTGGCGCGAATCCTGAACTAATGGCGCCAATGGTTCCCGCCATGGTTGCGAATTCACTGCGCAGCTTCTATATTTGTGACCGGGGCGACAGGTTCGTCGGAGACTGGAGATCCCTAGGGTCCTGTGGGCCGAACTCGTAGAATAGAAATGGGGTATTGAGTCGTGTTTGGGCCTGAATGTTGGGCTCGGGCTGATCCAAGTGAGTAATTAGGCGAGTGTAGTTCACGGCCATGCCGACGCGTGGGGCTCAAGTACAAAGGATACACGAACGAATCTGCATCCACCACGGGCTAGCGTGACTGACATCACACACACGACGTCGCATAGACAGTTCTTTTCTTTCAGCAATGATTTGTTTTTCTTTTTTTCAATTTTTTTTTATTCTGTTGAGGGTTCGCTGCTGCTCATTTATCTTCCGCCTTAAACCTATATTCGCTCTTCCCCACCTTCGCTTCCTGTTTCCCCTTCTCGTCTCTCCGCTCTCAAGCAACCAAAAGAACACAAGTAAAAAAGGGTTTCCCTCTGCAACTTCCGATCATTTCCCATGGCCAACTCCTCCGCCGCCGCCGATTCCCGCCACCCGCTCTCCCTCACGCCTCCTCCGCAGATCTCCAAAGGTCCAATTTCTCCTTAATTCACTCGCGAACTCGTCTTCTTCTTCTCCGACTGTTTGATTCGTTTTGTGTTGCTGGTGTTCGAATGGGGGTTTGGGGGGTATAAAACCCTAACTTCTTGTGTATTGGTGGGGCCCCGGCTGGTCCTGCTCCTTTTTTGACGGCTGTGATAATTCGTATAGTGTGGCTTCTTTCGAAGCTTCTCTCTGGTTTCAGTGTCGGAGACTCGGAGTACATCAGCTTTTGGGTTTTAGGGTTTATGTGGGGGAATGTGTGCTTTTCGTTCTTGCTCTCTGTAGTCCAGAGCAGTACTGTGAATGCAGTACTGGGAATGTACGTTTTCTAGTGTCAATGAGTCGCCCCTCTCAAATCTGTGTTCTTTTCATTTTTCTTCTCGGGAACTCTTCTTCTTCCCCGCAACTTCTTCAGGGATCGGTACCCAGGAAATTGATAAACCAGTATGGTTGAATTAGTTGTTAGGTAATTAATTTATCATTTTTGAGGGTTTCGTGAATTGTGAACGTTTTTCATATGAACGATTTGATCTCTTTAAGCAATGAATATGTGTAATACTCTAGGGAATTTGATTGTTCTGTAACGCTGATTCCCCGACTTGTACTTTTGCGTTCCCTGTTTCATTTGTTACTTGCAATGGGTAAAGTCTGATGCTTGTTGGCATTTGCTCAACTTGAACTGTCTTGAGCTGTAACAGAGATGTATTTTTATTGAAGATGGTTATGTATTCATGTTTATGTTTTTTTTTTTTTGGTCTATGCAGATGGTCATGCATCTGACAATCCCATCCCTCTTTCTCCTCAGTGGCTGCTTCCGAAGCCAGGCGATACTAAGCCTGGAGCAGGAACTGGGGTGTGTCTCGCCAGTACTTTTTGGTTGTAAATCGTCTTTTATTTACATGGACACGATATCTGAACATATACCTTTTTCCCTGCGGCATTGGCCATATGTAGCCCCAGTTCCATCAGCTTGCTTTTCTTCATCTTCTGTTTGGTTGGGATTACTTTAGTATTCTTGAATCTTGATTCCGGTTTTAATGTTTGGTTGCGGTGGGGAATTGATTACAGGAAGTCCATTTTGGCTCTCATCCAGCCTATGGTAATCGCACAGACAGCATCAAGTCTCCTGGTACTAATGGTGAAGAGATGCATGATTTGCATAAGAAAAAGGATGTTTTCAGGCCTTCTTTGCATGACATGGAACCTGGTCGCCGCGATCGCTGGCGTGATGAGGAAAGGGACACCAATCTGTCAGCCCGGAAAGACCGCTGGAGGGATGGTGAGAAAGAGCTTGGTGACAGCAAGCGAATGGACCGCTGGGTGGAGAATCCCTCTGGCAGGCATTATGAAGCTCGGCGGGTCCCTACTGAGCGCTGGGGGGTTGATTCGGGTAACAGAGACAATAATTATGAGCAGCGGCGTGAGAGCAAGTGGAACAGCCGCTGGGGACCTGATGGTAAGGAGACAGACTCTGGCAGAGATGTGGATGTACCTCATGAGAAAGGCTTGGGGATTCTTCCCACACAAGGGAAGGATGATCGAGAGGCTGACCATAATCGACCTTGGAGATCTGGTTCCTCTCAAAGTCGTGGGAGAGGAGATGCCCCCCACCAAACAACACCTTTGTCAAACAAACAGGGCCCTATGTTTCCATATGGCAGGGGACGTGGTGAAACCAATCAAACATTTTCTGTTGGTCGTGGAAGAATTGGGGCTGGTGGAAGTTCTATTAACAGCGCTTCAACTCATCCTCAACCTCTAGGGCCCATCCTGGACAAGGCTGAAAATGGGCCTCTAAGATATGGCAGGACCAAATTGTTAGATTTGTACAGGAGGACTGATATGAGGTCATCTTGGCAACTATTGGAAGAGTTTGTCCATGTGCCATCTCTTACGCAGGAAGATATGGTGGAACCGCTTGCACTATGCTTACCTAATCCCGAAGAGATGGTAATTTTATTCAAGAAGTGTTATAGTGATGTCCGTGAATTCCTACTTTTAACTTGATGTTTCTGTTCATTTGCTCGAGTAGGTTGTGCTGAAGGGAATTGACAAAGGGGAAATTATAGGTAGTGGTGCCCCTTCACTTTCAAAAGATGGATCTATGGGGCGGAACACGGTAGATTATACTCATTCGAGAAGGGCTAGAGTTGGTATAGTTTCTTTCTCTTGGCAGTTTATCTCGTTTTAAATGTTCGAACGGTTGTGAATGATCTATTATGATTTTCGTGTACGAGCAGGTAGTAGGGAAGATGGAACTCTTTCTGTTGATGATAGTAAGGATGATTACATGGAGAATATGAAAGGTGGCTTTGGGAATTATACCGACGGCCCATCTAATGAGAGGCAGTTGCAATACTCTGGTTCCAACTCTAAGTTGGAGTCGTTACAAGACCATTTGGTGCATCCTGAAAACAGATTCAAAGCTGAAGGTAATTGCTTTGAGTATTCTGCTTTTTCTATGGACGTTTCTGGGTGACTAGGATATTTTATCATGCTATTTATGGAATAATAATTTGCTGGAATATATGTAATCCTGTGATGTTGATTATTCCAAATTTAAGAATGTACCCCATTCCCTTTCCGCTTGTAGGTCCTAGAGAAAATATCGGACCTTATAGGAAGACTGAGGATGCACCTATTAGTAGGGAATCAAGTTCACAGGGAAATTATTCGGCACCCTGGCGAGCACAGTCTTTGGGAGAGCAATTCCATGCTCTGTCTCACGAGCGAAGGGATGTTTCTGATAACATAAACTGGACTTCAGCTCACAAGAATCTTAATTCTCAATGGGAAAGTAATATCGTTAATCCTTCATATTCCAAAGATCATTCCAAGTGGCAGCCTGGTGAGGACCCAGTTCTCAAGCGACAACTGTCAGCCATGCTGGAGAGAGAACAAGAAGCAAAGAAGATGTTGCAGCAGTCTGCAATGCTGGAGAGAGAACAAGAAGCCATGAGGGTGCTGCAGCAGTCTCCTGAGAATCTTATGCTTTACTACAAAGATCCACAAGGGCAAGTCCAAGGTCCGTTTTCTGGTAGTGATATAATTGGATGGTTTGAAGCCGGGTACTTTGGCATTGAGTTGCTAGTCCGTGTAGCATCAGCATCAAAAGAAGTGCCCTTTGCAGCACTTGGTGATGTAATGCCTCATTTAAGAGCGAAGGCAAGGCCGCCACCTGGTTTTGCACCTCCAAAGCAGAATGAAGTGTCAGAAGTAAATACTAGGCCCACCTTTGGTAGCTTTGGGCCTCCAACAATAGGTGTCAATGAAGTTGACATGCTAAGAAATGAACCAAGGCATAAACTTGGGTCAACTACTGAAGCTGAGAATAGATTTTTGGAGTCACTGATGGCTGGCAATATGGCCAATTCATCCCAAGGTTGGTTCTTTTTTTGTTGGTGCATTCACCCATTTCAATCTCATTGCTAGTTTGCCACACACATGCACACACACTAACATACCTTATAGTCTGATTTGAATGTTTGTTGTGTTGAACATTCATGTTTGATTTGTAGGTATGCAAGCATTTGTTGCTGCCAATAGTCCTGGTGGAATGTTGCCCCCAGGAGCAGATGGTAGCGAGATATACCTTTTGGCGAGGAAAATGGCTCTGGAACGACAGAGATCAATTCCCAGTGCACCTCAGATATCACATGAAAAACTCTTGTCGTCACTCACTGATAACTCCCGCCAGCCACCTCGTCCTCCAAATGCTGACTTAATGTCAATTTTGCAAGGCGGAGCTGAGAGATCTGGTTCTGGTGTAAATAATGGTGCAACTGTGGGTTGGTCAAATTTTCCTGTCCAAAGTGGTTTAGATCCAATTCAGGATAAGGTTGACTTGCATCATGGACAGACTTTGCAAGCACCTTTTGTTCAACAGCAAAGGCTGCAGCCACAAAACACGCCTCCTTTAGCAAATATGGTTGGTCAACCTATGGATAATCAATCTTCTGTGTTACTACCTGATAAAATGTTACCATCAGGTTTTCCCCAGGATCCACAGCTACTTAATATGCTGCACCAACAGTACTTGCTGCAGTTGAATCACCAGGCTCCGCTTCCTCCCCAGCAGCTGTCGGTGCTAGATAAGCTTCTGTTACTTAACCAACAGCAGAAACAAGAGGAACAACAGCAGCAGTTGTTACGGCAACAACAGCAGCTTCTGTCTCAGGTTCTGTCTGAGCAACATACTCTCCAGCAGCAGTTCAGGGAACATTCCTATGGTCAGTTGCAGCCAACTCCTGCCATGACTTCTGGAAGTTCATCTGTTGATCATTCTCGTCAACCCTTGAATGATCCCCTTCAGATGGGTTTGCAGCAGTTTCCAGTTTCCAGTGTTCAAGATGAGCGCACCACTAGTTCCATCAATTTGGCTCTACAACCACAAGTTGTGCATGATGTCAGTCACAATGGTGATTCAAAACCATCTTTTATTCATCTTCCTCATCAATTGCTTGGAGATGCTAGTGCCCCTAAAAGCCAGAGTGGTAGTCTTCCTGAACAAATTGATGATATCCATGAAAAGATATCTTTGCCCTCATCAGCATTTGTTGAAAGCTCACTGCCAAAGGTGCCGACAGCGACAAACAAGTCTTCAGTTGAGAGTTCTCTTGGGCATGGGCATATGCTTCCCTCTGAGTCGCATGTTTCTCCACAACTGCAGCAGAGAGCAGTAGAAGCTTTGGTAACTGAAGCAGGTAAAAAAGTTGCTAGTTCCTTACCCATTACTGAGCCATCTGTGGATACTTATGAACCTGAACCTGCAATGCCTGAAAGTCTGAAGTCCCCAGCTCAGGAGCAGCAAGTTGTTAAAGAGAAAGTTAATGTCGAGTCTGTCGAAGATGTTAGAAATATTGAAGTTCGTGAGGTTAAAAAGGCTTCTGAAAAGAAATCTAGAAAACAGAAGTCTGCCAAGGCTGTTTCCTCATCTGACCAGGCGAAAGCTACATCAAAAGCTGGCTCTTCTCAGCAGCTAGAATCAAGTGATGAAACTGCTGGAAAGTTACATGAGGCGTCTCCTCGAAAGACGAAAGACAAGAAATCGGGCACTTACTCTGGGGAAAATTTGGAAAACCTACAGGTTAAGAGTTCGATGATGTCAGCTGGCATTTCCCAGGATGCTGCTGATGCTGTGGAGACTAGGAGTGAAGTTAAGCAAGTTGCTTCAGACCCGGTGCTAAATGCACCAAGCCTTGCAGCTCAACGAGCTTGGAAACCTGCTCCTGGTTTCAAACCAAAGTCGTTATTGGAAATTCAGCAAGAAGAACAAAGGCGGGTACAGATTGAAGTGCCTTTTTCTGAGACCATGCCAGTTGTCAGTTCTGTGGGTCTGTCCGCCCCTTGGTCTGGTCTTGTAGGTGGTTCGGAGCCTAAGATTTTCAGAGAAGCACAAAAAGAGACTAACAGCACGGAAATATATGGTGGGAAGCCAGAAATTTCACCGAGCTCTAAAAGTAAGAAAAGCCAGTTGCATGATTTATTGGCTGAAGAAGTTTTGGCTAAGACTGTTGAACGTGAGATGGAGTCGAGCGACAGCGTGTCTGGCTTATCTTCACAGCAAGTAGCAAGTAACAGTATTGAGTCTGTGGATGATAACAACTTTATTGAAGCTAGGGATACTAAAAAAAGTAGGAAAAAGTCTGGTAAAGGAAAGGGTTCTGGAGCCAAATTGGCAGTATCCCAAGCGTCTGCTGATCTGCCTATTAGCTCTAGCCCCGTTGAGAAAGTCAAGGGCTCATCTCGAGCGGCGCAACAAGAGAAGGAAGTATTGCCTGCAATCCCTTCAGGTCCTTCCTTCGGTGATTTTGTTTTGTGGAAAGATGAGTCTTCCTTGAATCAATCCCCATCTCCAGCGTGGTCTGCTGACTCTAAGAAGATTCCCAAACCTACATCCTTAAGAGATATTTTGAAGGAGCAGGGGAAAAAGACTTCTTCGGTCCAACCTCAGATCCCGATACCAACCCCTCAAAAATCGCAGCCTCCACAAGCCATGCATGCGAGTGGATCTGGGTGGTCAATATCCGCAGCTTCTCCATCTAAGGCAGCTTCTCCTATCCAGATTAGTGTGGCTTCTCAGTCGAAGCATAAAGAAGATGATGACTTATTCTGGGGTCCAGTTGAACAAAAACACGAACCCAAGCAGTATGATTTCTTTCTCTTGCTGATTTTCATAATCTCTTCTTTGCTTGCTAGGGTAGTTTAAGGCTTCAAAATCTCTTCATTTTTTGTTGCTGGTGGATATGGTACTTCCTTTTTTGACAACCTTTTAATTTGAGTAGCGATGACCTCAGGTTGTGTTTGGTAATAGATGTGCTTTTGTCATGATTTTCATAGCTCCGTTTGATTCCTATGGTAGGAGGCCTATCAGAGGTTGTCAACATAAACAAATTAACAAATGGTAAAGGTCAAGTGCGTCAAAAGAGTTGTTAAAAAAGTTGTCAAAGATTAGGAGGTCTTAGTTAACTTTTCTAGTGTTGAAATTAGCAATGTACGAGTTTCGTGCAATGACTGAAATGGCTCAACAAGTTTTCGGGTTTTATAGAAGAAATGATAGAATTGAAAATTTAGAAAAGTGAAGTGGAAACAAGTTAATTGTTTGATTATCTGGAGCCACTGACAGATGCTAATTGTTCAATCAAATCAAACTGGGAAGTTTGGCCATGCAACTGTTTTATATTTGCAGGTCTCAGTCTGCTGCTATGTTTGTATGAAGTTCCAAGTTTTCATGAAAATGTCCCTGAGATGGAATCTGAGCGTGCTAAAGTTTCTTCCTTTTTAATTGTAAACAGGTCAGAGTACCCTCAACTTACCAGTCAAGGAAGTTGGGGAACCAAAAGCAGCACCCCAGTGAAATCAACTCCTGCCTCATTGGGACGCCAGAAGTCAATGACTAGCAGGCCTGCGGAGCGTCCCATTTCCTCCTCACCGGCACAATCTTCTCTAAAGGGGAAGAAAGAAGCAGCCAACAATAAACATTCAGGTAGAACAATTTCATATGAGATCATCTCCTCTCTCCATTAGCTGATTCTGGGACCTTACATGTTTTTTTTTTCTTTTCCCCCGCAGAGGCAGTGGGTTTCAGAGATTGGTGCGAGAGTGAGTGTGTTAGATTGCTCGGTTCAAAAGGTAAACATCCTGCTACTTATCTTTTGATCAAGAAGCAAGATATGAAAGTACTGGATGGATAACAGTAAAATCACCTGTAGAAGGTCTCATCAAGTGATGCAAATTCTATGCTTTCCCTGACAGACACAAGTTTCTTGGAGTTCTGCTTGAAGCAGTCGAGATCAGAAGCAGAAATGCTTCTGATTTCAAATATCGGATCAGTCGACCCTAATCACCAGTTCATCGAAAAGTTCCTGAACTACAAGGAGCTATTGCCAGCAGATGTTATTGACATCGCCTTTCAAATTCGGAATGATCGCAAGGTCACTGGGTTCAGTGCCGGAGACATGAATTCCGAGAATTCGGCGGGGGTCAAGGACTTAGACTACGATGTGGCAGCAACCGCGGATGGATTTTCCAAGACTGGTGGTGGTAAGAAGAAAGGAAAGAAAGGCAAGAAGGTTAGCCCTTCAGTTCTTGGGTTCAACGTGGTGAGCAACAGAATCATGATGGGAGAGATTCAATCAGTTGAAGATTAGGGTGGTTATAGAGAAAGATAGCAAGAAGCATTGGGTGAGGATCCTGTAAATACAATGTCAGGGTTTTCGTTTTTTGAAACTCTTTGTACATGGCTTTTCCCCCAGTTGCATCTTTTCCTTTTTCCCTTTATCTCTAGGGTTCTTGTTTTCCTTGTCTTTCCATAGAGCTAGCAGCGGCAGAACGTTGATTCATCTCTGCTCGTGCGATTTTGTTGTGTAACCTGCTTTTTTCTTCTTCTTTTAATTAGTATCGATTGATGTTCCTTATCACCTTATATCTTACTAGTTTTTTGGCCCGCGCTCCGCTGCGGTAGAAACTAATAATTTAGTTTAAATCAAATAATTAATAAAATTATTAAGATAAGACGGTAGAAACTAATAATTTAGTTTAAATCAAATAATTTATAAAATTATTCAGATAAGATAAATATATAAGTTTCACATGATGGTTATACGTTTGGTTAAGTGATACATTGTAACTATTTCTACATAAAATTTTAGGTACACTATGTTTGGAAGGGGGGTTAATGGGAGGGGAGCAAAGTTTGGGGGTACATGCATTTGCCCCCATTTGGATAATTATGAATAGTGTAGGGGGTGCAATTAGGGGGCAAATCTACTATTCTCATTAACCACCAATTTGGGGTACAAATGGAGAGAGAAAGAGTGGAAGGATGGATAAAAGATAAAATTAATATATATATTGTTATATTTTATATGTATGATTATGTTTTATGATTGTTGTGACTAAAAATGTCATGTAATCATTATTCTACAATAATACTTATTATAAGATACTAAGAATAATTATTATAATGATTAAATAATAATTATTATGATTTTTACATTGATTCCGGGAGACGTCATTTGATATACGATGAGAAAGTTTGTTAAATTTGCTTCAACTGTTTGACTCGGTCAAACAAGTGAGTCAAGATTCGTCAAGTCGAATCGAGATAGGATGATCATTTATGGTTAAAATCGATTTGATCATGTCTGTTTCACTCCGATTTAACCATCATTTTGATAAATCAACGCCCGGTGGGAGACATGAGCTAGTTATATGTCTTGGCCACGGATTGAGCTTCAAGCATAGTCATTCGAGGTCGCTCAACCAATTATTATTATTATGGACCCAACAATTTTATTTACGAATTAATTACTATTTGAGCATTAATATTTTAACATTATTTTATTAAATTATATTTTTAATATTTATAAATATTATTATTTTTTATTTCATATTTATTTATTTGTGAATATTTTATAACAATCTTATTAATTTGATATATATATATATATATTATAATAATATAATTTACTTACTTTTCACTAATTTGCACCCTCCTACTTTTTCATCCAAACAACAATTTACCCCTCCACTTACACTCCCCAACAACTTGCACCCCCAGCAATTTACCCCTCAACTTGTACCCCCCTCGAATTTGCACCCCCTAGTTGCCAAACACAGGTGTTTAATTATTGTAGAAAACTTACATATTATTTTTTCAATTGGTACATAAATGATTATTTGTCCATAAATTTACGTAGTGTCTTAATCACTAAGTAAAACTCATGAAACAGTTCTAATAGTATAATCAAGTTATGGTTAGTAACATCGACGAATTTCAAATTTACATAACTTTTATTGAATTTTGTTACATAAATATTTCATAATATTTGGTATAATAATAATTGCTTATGAATTGTAGACTTATCGTTGAAGTGGTTGTAGGGAATAAAACTCATATAATTGCTTATGAATTTTAGACTTATTATAGAAGTGTTTGTAGGGAATAAAAATCATATGAATAATATTGCAGAAAAGGAGGAAAAAGGGCTTATGGTGAAATTGAATAAATGGGATAGAACCCCATTGTGAACGGTACCCGTGGGGAAACAATAGCCTATCTTTTCTTAAGGAATAGTGAAAAGTGTTTGTGCGAACAGTACCCGTGGAGAAAAAAATAGCCTATCTTTTCCTAATGAATAGTGAAAAGTGCTTGTGCCTTTAATTATATAATAATAATTTTCTTAATGAATAGTGAAAAGTGTTTGTGCTTTTAATTATATTAATATAATAATTAAGAATTTTAGACTTATCGTTGAAGTGGTTGTAGGGATTAAAACTCATATAATTGCTTATGAATTTTGGACTTATCTTAGAAGTGGTTGTAGGAAATAAAAATCATATCAATAATATTGCAGAAAATGAGGAAGAAGGGCTTATGGGAAAAAAGGGCTTATGGGTTAGAACCCTATTGTGAACAGTACCCGTGGAGAAAAAATAACTTGCTTTTTCTTCATGAACAGTGAAAAGTGTTTGTGCTTTTATATAATAATAATAATAAGGCAGATATATATTTCGCGAAGGTTGTTACTACTTCAGATTCTGTTTACTCGTTGACTATGCGTCGGGTGGCTTTGTGGAAGTCTCAGCAGAGTGCACATTCTTCTGATTGGTTGTGTGCTGTTCCTGTAGGCACCACATTTTGTCCGGAACTGCCATCCTACCTGAAACAGAAAATGAAACCCTGTTTAAAAATTAGAAGGGCGACTTGATATAGAAGTATGGATAAAATTGGTTAAGATTTGCAGTAGCAAGTCAATAAGTACCACTTGTTCCCAAGTTGCTTTTCTTGTACCATATTTGGTCTTAAATAGGTCTTGTATGATAACTAATTTTAAATAGGTCTCGGATGAGATAGAATAGAACGAATGATAATATACCGAATTTTATGGTCACGAGCCTAGTTGGGAATAATTTAGTCGTCGAGTTTGATCTAAAGATTGAAGTGAATGAGATCTCAAATTTAATTTAGATTGAATTGAATTGGGTTTGAAAGGGTCGCTTGAACTTTATTAGACATTTTGCATTGCATCGTAATAATTATCTAGCATTAAAGGCTAATGGCATAGAATATTACATGTATAATTACAAATAATGAATTACGAATTACACTAGGTAATTGTACATTTGAAAGAGGAACAAAGAGAAATAAAATTGAATTTAAAACAAGGAAAACTCCCTCTCGTTTGGGCACCAATCAGACTTTGACGCCCAACATTTGAAAGATTAACTCGACGTGAGCCGCCGTTTTGCCAAATCGGAAAGAAAGGGCGAGAGGAAGAGAAGGATGAGAATCAGAAAGAGAGGCTAGGGAACGGCGGCGACGGAAGGAAGAGTGGAGGAATCGAGCTCGCCGCCTCTCTTTCCTTCTGTTCTCGTTTTCGTTTTGTTTTCAGAAGAGAGAGCCGAGAGAAGGGAAAAGAAATTAGAGAGAGAGGAGGCAGCCGCCCGGCCTCTATTGTTAGGGCGATTTGGGTTTTCTTATGGGTAGTATATATAGTTTAAATTTTAAAATTACTAGATTGCCCCTAGGGTTACGTCGCAATTATGCGGCCGTGCCACCGCGTTTTTGAGCAATTACGAAATTGCCCTCCCCTTTCTTTGAAACAAAAAAGCAACGATTAAAATTGGGTTGGCAGGTTTCAAACCAGTGTCCTCAGGAGCGAATGCGCCCCGTGCTGGAAACTTAGACAGTTGGTATGCTAGCCCATCATGCGTCAATTTAACCATCCCGCTTTATTTTATTTGATTAGAGTCCTTAATACGAAATGTGAAATGCGGATTAAGTTGATCTTGCTTCTTCTCTAATACATCAAAATACATCCTAATAACTAAAATCCTTGCAATAATCAATTTAAATTTTACTAACAAAATTATATTATGAGAACACATTTAGTAGAACGTGGTAAAAATTATGATTAAACCTATCAAAGTTAACAAAATTATAATACGAGGATTACGTTCAGTGGAACGTGGTAAAAATTATAATTAAAATTATCAAAGTTCTAATGAACTACGTGAACTTTGATCCCATATTACGGGTACGTAGGCAACCGATAAGGTTCGAGTCCAACTAACCAATTAACTTTATCTTTTAATTTCTACGTCAGTGGACGTATGATTAAATTACAATTAATAGAATTTAATTTCTTTAGTGGTCCAATAAGGCCCTAAAAGTACCTAAAATATCTAATTATAAACTAACACGTAAATGGACGTTTAGTCCGATTATACCTAATGAAATATCAATTTAGTAATGATCCAGTGGGATCCTAAAATTATAAAATTATTACTAAAATACACCCAAGTCGCATAAAAACTTATCGACTTAAGTAGTACCGATTTAGGGCGTTGTGAGGTGTGATTTCACTTCCCCACACATAACCGTACTAATGAACCCAAATCTCTTAATCACAGATCACATTTCAGTTCTGACCCTAAGATTGGAGCCGATCCGAAGAGTGTTCAATCCACTCCAAGTAAGATCGATGGCAACTCCCAAAAATGCTGACGCAACGACCCTGAACCCCCGGAGGGACGGTTGCGACAGTTGGCGACTCCGCTAGGGACATTCGAGAGTCGAGCTACATTTACTAGGTTCGATAAGTTTTCGTACTTTCTCTTATATGTTGGGTGTTTACTACTTATTTGCGCAATTATATTTTCGCAATTTAAATTTTGCATTCATGCATAAAAGCTCTACGCCCAAGCTATCCCTTTAGAAAATTGAAAGGAGTACCGTGACTTCCATAGTAGTGGCCGTCACGCAAAACTTTCTAACCAAGTTAAACTCGGATCCTAGGATGATCCTGAGGTATCTAGCCAGTTCGAAAGGACTACGGCAGGATACAACTTGGGAGCCAAATCTCTAGGAATTCCCCCGCCAGCATATAGTGAGCTTAGAGGCCACCCAAAACCGTCCAAAACAATCCCGAAACCACCCTAAAACCATGTCGTTACGCCACCCGAAAGCCCTAGGTCTACCTAAATAAGGTAAGGATGTAATGATATGTGTTTTCTTATCTAAATATATGTTTGCTTACGATGTTATGATATGTGTTTTATCTTTCACTCATTGAACTGCGTGGTTGTATGAATGAAAAACGTTCTCAAAATTCATAAGCATCATTCTCTTATAAGATTTTCATTCACTCATTTACAACTTATCATAAAAAGATTTAAAAAAAAACTCACATGCATCAAGTGAAAAATGAATTCGCATTCATACATCATTAACATTTTGCATAACCATCAAGCATACACCATCATTAAAAAAGGAAATAATTTGACAGTATTGAGACGGTCCAGGTTTCCTTAAAATTGCTCGTCCACAAGGAAAAAGTCAAGACTTCAAGTACTTAACTAGATCCAAGCTCGAGTTCGTCATGGAAGCGTTCCAGAAAAAGTTAAGCGACATTGAAGGAAAGATAACCGGATTTGATGAAAAGCTAGCCGGGTTCGATGAAATGAAGGATCAGCTGAACATGATAGTAAAGATATTATTAGCTAAAGGGAAAGGGGTAGTATCTAACGATGAAGAAATACACTCTGATGAAGAAGATTGCGATGGGCACCTGAAGGGTGAAGTTTCTAGTGCCAAGATCCCCGTCATACCCTCAAAAGACGTATATGACAAGAAGAACATGGGATCTCCAATACATGATCGAGAGGAAGACAAATTGGAAGGAGCCATGGACGACGTGCTATTAAAAGAAAATGGGAATACCTGGACGAAAGGGTGAAAGCCATTGAGGGGGTAGAATCCATTGGTTCTACAGATGGCACACAGTTGTGCCTAGTTCCCGACGTGATAATTCCCAATAAATTTAAAAATTCCAAAGTTTGAAAAGTATGACGGTACCACGTGCCCCAGAAACCATCTGATCATGTATTGCAACAAAATGGCTAACCACATTAGAGATGACAAGCTCATGATATACTGCTTTCAGAATAGCCTAAGTGGTTCGGCGCTAAGATGGTATATGCAACTCGAAAGTTCGAAGGTGAAGAGGTGGAAATATTTAGCTGATGCGTTCATAATACACTACAAGCACAACCAATATCTAGCTCCTGACCGAGAAGATTTACGTAACATGGGAAAGAAAGAAAATGAATCTTTCCGTGAGTATGCACAGAGGTGGCGAGGAAAGGCCGCAGATGTTCAACCCCCGTTGTCAGAAAAAGAAATGGTTTCGACCTTCTTCGAAACACTAAAGCCTCCATATTACAACATCATGGTAGGAATCACTACAACAAACTAGTAATTGGAGAACGAATAGAGAAGGGGATTAAGCTAGGAAAAATGGAAATTCCAGAAGCCTCTAAGAAACCACACCAAGCCCGAAGAGGAGAAGCAGGCGTCCATTATACTCAAACAGAATCATCAAGAGGGAGAAGGTGAGATCATCAACCTCAGGCCAATCAAGCGCGTCCCCATGTTGCAAACCCTGCCATAATTAATAAACGTCCAGTGTTTCAAACTCAACGAACAATCCAAAGCCCGACACAAGTTGCACCACCAAATAACCAAGACCAGAACAATGCCGGGAAATACAAAAAACCTCTCCAAATCGACCCTATCCCCATTACATACACCGAACTTCTCCCAACTAATTCAGAGTCACCTAAGTTCCCCAATACCATGTGAACCAATGAAACCTCCTTATCCAAATTGGTACAGGTCATCAACACTGTGCTTATCACTCAGGAGTCGCGGGACACTCAACTGAAGATTGTCGAATGTTCAAGATCAAAGTCCAACAAATGATGAAAGCTGGTTGGTTAAAGTTTGAAGAAGATCCTAAATCTCCATACATCAGTAATAACCCACTGCCAACTCATGAGAATTAGTAGGCATATTACAAGGCAAAGCTCGATTGAAGGATGATGTTGATCCTATCTAGCAAATAAAATATCGAGATAAGTTGCCATAACAAAAATGTATCACTTTTGCTTTCACCGTCATGAATAACAGGTATTTCACGTTACGACTTCTTCGGAGCACCGCGTGAACATTATAAATCTTAATTTTAGAGTTTGCATCAATGGTTTTCATAATCAAAATAGCAAATACCACTTCTGATGTCTTAAAAAAAGATTTATTTTCTACAAAAATTAAACCCATCAAAATCCAGTTTCATGCTCAAGTTAAGCCATGAGATTGTCATGCTAAGAAAATGTGAACACCCCACTGGTGTTGAGAATTTAAAACACCCCGTTAGTGTCGAGAGCTTAAGCGCCCCACTGGCATTATGAGTATGAACACTCTACCTGAGTTCATATAAAATTGGGACTTAAAATTAATAGTCAAAAGGTGTAACAAGTATACGACATCATGCTACTTATAGATCTTGTTGCCACTGTAGTCGACTTTTGCTAACAGGTTGAGACTCCGTTCACATGAAGTCAAATAGCCAAATCCCAGTGCACCGATAGACAAGGGACTCAACATTATGGATATGAAACTTCTCACTGAATGTCATAGCTAGAGGATTGAAGGAGTTCAAGGATGCAATCTATGCAAACCAAGGAATCACACGCATGAAACACTTATCTATACAAACAAGCACATAACGCTTGCAATCTCGCTTCTTCGAGAAGGGAGTAGCCAAATCAGGCTAGCTAACAAAAGGCACCCACATCCTCAATCACCAAGAAAGACTCCCAGCCTTCCTATACTTGTATCAAGAAAATCAAATTTTAGAATTAAGGAAAATGAGAACCATAGATGGGGGCCTACCATAGCCAAGTAAGTCTCGCACAACAAAAAAAACGAAAAAATAAAATATATTGTGGGACTAACAAATTAGGTGCCCCTAGTTAAGCATTTGAAGTATCAACCGCATGCACCAAGTTAAGGTCTTACAAAGAAAAATGATGACCTCAAGCTAGACCTTCCATGATAAGAAAGCGTTTTCGACCAAAATCACTTCTTCCCAGAGACTCATCATTTTGAGAACAAGTCAGAAGCTGAAACTCCACCACAACCAACATTTAGAGGTCAAACAAAAATCTTGACTAGTCCATAACCAGATTACATTCGCAAAAATCTCAAACCACGACTCATGAAACCATAATCTCAAAGACAGGGGGCAAAGCCAGCCAAACACACATTCCCCCAAATATTGCCCAAGACTGTCAACAGTTTCAAACAAATCTTCGTCGAAAAAAGACCAGGATAATAGTGGTTTTCAACCCATCATATCAATCTTATACTTGGGGGGCATAGCCAAAATCCCTCTACGAGAAGCCTTATATGGGTAAGATCAAGATTTGACTTATCCGTCACCCATCTGAATAAACCATACTTCAAGAGCAAGAAGACTCCTACCATCAAAGTCATATCGGACAAAAGCCCTTTTAATGGGAAACCAACGTCCACAACGAAACCATATGAAGGTATCCTAAATCAATCACACCAAGGTCTTCCATGTTGCTGCACAAGGAACGCAGTTGACCACGAACATAAAATGAGACATCTCAAGGTGACTAGAATCTTAATGGTAGCTGAAATGTCGTACACTCAAATCACCTATAGGAATGAGTGATGAGCGAAATCAAAAGTGAGAGTGAAAGCGAGCAAAATCAAAATTGAAAGTGAAAGCGAGGGCTTACTGATTTTCTCATGGCTTGGCTTACACTTCTTTTATTGAAAAAAAATCAAATTTGGCAGCACGACAACTACCACGCAAAACCGGTTTTATCCCGTTTGCACACACTTCTAGAAAGCAAAGTCTTGATATGGCTTTTGTTTTACTTCTCTAATAAACGTTTTCAAACATTTTTGCATTCGTCTTAAGTCAAGATTGATAAAGTCACTCTTTGTTTCAAAGAATAGAAAGTGAATAACAGATCTACGGGGGCAAAACTGATACACCATGGAAGATGCGGAAGTTTGAGTACCCAAGAATCATATTAATCAACTTCACTCATGAGTTGATGAAAAAATCTCAAGGGATTTGAGAACATTCAAATCTCATTAAACCAGCCATCAAACTTATTATCCTTCAACTTCATGGTCAGAAGGAGAAGGAACCAATATACTGCACATACCAAGAGATGCACAACTCTGAAATATGTGGGTCCAAACTTGACCGACAAGAAGAACAGAGATAAAACATATCATTACCTTAGCTCACAAAGTATATCTTCGCGCAACTACCACCACGAAGATATACCTCAGGACAACAAGTTCAAAGTCGCTTCAGCATTAACACAAAATATGGATCAAGTTGATCGAAAGGGATTGACAATCTTCGAAGATGAGCAATTTAAAGGAGACCCACGCAAAAATTGCATAGAGATTATCAAATGCATCACATCTTCTTTTTCACTCAACATTCACGACTTCATCGGCATGATTCATCACGCAATCAATTTCGAAAATAATTTTGATACTCCTTAAACAACATCATATGTTAAAATGGGTCATGCATTTATTGCCAGCAATTCCCATAATAACTCATACATTTAGTTGGATTTCCAATGTTTGTAAAAAGGAACTAGTTTTTTACCCGCCCGTTGGGCGGTGTATTTTGTTTGGTTATTTTATAATTCGTTATAGTATTCTAATTATTATTATTATTTATGTTTGTTAAGGTAATATATATGGAATTGTAAATCCCACTTACCTTATTTAAGGTATTGTTTCATACTTTTATACCTTTTGTTTGTTTATGGACATTTTAATTTTATTAACTGAGCTCTTTGTAGATTGTTCTTCATTGATTTAGAATTTTTTTTATCGAACTCACCCTTTAAGATTATAAACATAAGAGTTATTCATTCTTTAGCACACAATTGTGATAAAGAAGTTAAAAAATTTACAGCCACAAAAGAAGAAGTTAGAATAAGAAAATATGCTTCAATTAATAAAAACAAATAAGTGAAGAGCTTTTTATTTTCTCTCCCATCTCATATGTCGGTATACGATAATCTACACAATATATTATGCACTTCACTCTATATCATTGTTGCCACCTTGCACTTTGATTGGTTCTCCTTATTTGGTGGAAGGTTAACTTTGAGAATTTTTCAAACACTCAAGGGTCACTCATTATTATTGGACTTTTGGTTTTCTTTTTAGTAAATGCGATTAGGATTAAGAAAAAAGAAGATTTGTTTTAAGGTAAATGCTACATAATAATTATTTGAATTTTTCTCTGTGTAGATTTATTTTGTGTGGTTAAGGAAAAAACAGAGGCTATCTAAAGTTGTTTAACTCCTAAATGAGATAATGCTTGCGAATTGGATTTTGAGATGATAAAGATGATATATCGTTGTGGCGTGGATGTTTGGGAAGAGGTTCCTTCGGAATAGGTTTTTTCGCATTAGGGTTTTACGTTAAATAGATAAACCAAGCATCAACCTTCAAAAGTTTTAGATTCTTAATTTCATAGTGATTTCGGCAAACATGAAGAGGAAGAAAGACGGGAAATCTTGGCATAATACAATCAATTTATATTGTTTTAAATTTTTTTAATTCTCAAATTAGCATGTCTAATTTTTACATTAAATTTTGAAAGGTAAGATCGCATGTTTAGTCGTAGGTTAAACAATAATTTGATCCATATCGTACCGACTCGATATTTGTGTCGAATTAGATCAAACAAAAAAAATCAATTGTTTTACTCTATGTAATTGCTTAAAGTCGAGATAGTTTTTATTAGAAAATTATTAAACGTAAAATATGGTCCAATGGAATAACTTAAATGCTTCTTCAACCTAACTACGCTATTATTTACATCTGAATAGTTCCATTAACGATTAAAAAATAGTTGTATAATGATAAACCATTAATCATGAGTCATTGAAATTTTTCATCCGACAACCGCTCCGCTTTTGAAAATATAGGACATAGTCAATAAAATATTTAAAAATATGAGCATATTGTTAAATGTTAAGTTTGAATTATGATAACTAAAGTTCAAATGATTGAATAACTTAAAAGGTTCATTTCAAGTCAAAATATTCTTTTGCTAATATTTTTTATTTTTGTCTCTTTCAAAAATATAAATTTAATACATCTATACTAATATTTTTGGATTTGCTTTACATAATTGTCCAAATAATCTATTTCCATATCACATTTTTTTCTCCTCGAATTTTTGTATCTTTAAACTATTTAAATGTAATACATCTATAGTAATATTATGTACATTATTTACTTTTTAATTCAATAGATGACAATCAACTATATATAAATTAAAATAGTAATAAAATTTTCAAAGCTTCATTTGCAAAGTAATTATTCACATATAACGAAGATAAAAAATTTTGTTGATTTTTTTTTTATTCAGTGATGTTTAATATCTCAAGGCATGAATATAGATTCCAGAGAGTTTTTCATTTCATTCGTTGTCTAACTTAAACTTCTTATAGTTAAGTATAAAATGAAATACAAATTCAATAAAATCATAAAGTTAACGGGCACCAAAAACATAAACTATCAAAGTACTCTTTTGTACCAACAGTGCACAATACTAAAAATCGAACCACATACGTTTAACTGAAAAAAATATCCAAATGACCACATACCGGCCAACGGACCGGATACAACACTAGTAGAGAATATACAGATCTAAATCCCATGAATATCGTGTATTATCACTTACACATACAACTTTGGAATAATGAGGAAACTCATTAGCATCCACGTCCATCAATCTTCCACGTACTCGTTTAATTACCTTGAAATGTTCTAGAAAACCAACCACAAACACAACTATCAGCTGTCACAAACTTATTAAAACAATATTTTTAGCAAATTAAAATGCATATACTTAAATACAATTTATATTTTGTAGAGAGCTAAATATCTCCTGTAGAAAAGAATTGTGATTTTTACCTAATAACAACATAGAAAAATAATGAAAGGAGCAGTCTTCAATACAACTGAACTCAATTTATCATGCAGATTCCTCATTTGTGAACTGAATATATGCATCAATCCAAATAGTAGTTTGTAATAAAACAATCATGTCAAAATCAAGCTTTAGTTAGGGATTCAATGCGGAAAAATTCACCTTAATGAAACAAACAAATGTCACAGCAAACATGTAGAAATTCAAAAAACATCGAAATAGACAACCGAGAAACCACCATTATCATTTTCTTTCTTCTTCGCGACCTTTATAAAACCCCAATTATGTTCCCTTCTACTTATAATCTCTTTGCTACCTACTAATTACTAAACAGATCATCATTGTATTGCTAGCTAGTAGCATGTCAATCATGAACATAAAATATAATAAACAACCATCACAACTCTTCTTTCTATTTTAACATTCAAGAAATCGGGTTGCAATAGGCATTCAAGAAAAACGATCACTTATTCAATCAAATGAGGTATGTCCTAAGTCCAACCAATGAACCCTTCTAATTATATTTTATATATTTAAATAAAAGTATATGACGACCCTTCTCCTTGAAAAACAAAGAAGAAATACATTCACTCATCGAGAGTGAGAAAATTTACCATCCAGCAGTTATAATTTGGAATAAATTAAGAAAAGAATGGGAATAAGAGTATAACTCGGTCAGTCAACCGCAAACAATAACGTATCTCTGAGAAAGTGAGACCAGTTGCCAGCTTCAGATCAAGGAGGAAGAGGGAGCAGTCGACAACCCTCGGCTTGGTTCACCTCATCTTCACAATGATCATATGAACTTTTTTCGTTAACAGGTAAAAATATGTTACAACTGCTCAAAATTTTGTCATCTAATCGTTGCCTCGTGTAACTCCTGCCTCCTATTCTCATACAAAGAAAAAAAATCATATGCATTACCATTTTCTTCTCTATAAATTATGAGAATACAAATATTAGAAATCTCAAAAAAATTAACAACTAATAAAAGGGTTTTGTTTATTTTTATGGTGGTTGACATACTTTCTTGATTTCTTATTTTCAAAGTTGGATTTTATTTCTAGTGAGACAATCAAAATGGGCAAATGGACATAAACAAATTAAAAGTTTGCATTAATAATTAATATGTTTTTATTTAATCGAAATAAATAAGAAGTTATTTAAAAAATAAAAATTATTTCTCTGTCAAGTTTTTATTCAAACATTTTGCTATAAAATTTATACTTGTTTTATTTGATAGGTATATTAATTAGAAAGAAGTGAGTATTTGATAGCAAAAAAACATATAGTTATATCGATCATTTCTCAAAGTCGATTGATTATCAAACGTTTGTTTTCTCTTAGACCATCATTTATATTTTTTTTAATTAAAAATATTATTATTTATGTGTGTGTGTGTGTTTTTTTTTTGCTTCATCAAAATGTAACTTATTATTAATTTTAGTAAAAATGAGTAGACAATTTACTTAATCAGAGTTAATCAGCTTGGGTTAAACAAATACGATATATCACTCTCTGTTTTCATCTATATAGTTTGTTTAATTGAAAAAAAGATGATTACTTATGTATGTGTTTGTTTAAATGTTTCCTAAAAAATTAACTTATTTTAATTTTAGTAAAAATGAGTATAATTATTAAAAGAAGAGAGAGATAGCTTCATAAATAGATCAATAAATAGTTTTTTGTTTGTAAAAAAAATTGTCCATCTTGGCAACTTGTGCATTCACCAAGTGCTTATGTGGCAAGAAGTTATTTTTGAATAGCCATAATATGTAGTATAGATAGATAGATAGATAGATAGATAGATAGAGATAGATATAGATATAGATAGATAGATAGATAGATAGATCACTACAAGATACAACAACTACGTTCACGTGAATTCTTCAAGTCTCATGTTTAGCTTTCACGTGCATT